AGGCCCAGCGAACACCTGCCAGTGCAGTGCCGCACGCCCTGTCCAGCTTCTGCCAAGTCAGGCAGGTCCCCAAATCAGCTGTGCACGAAAAAGCTAAACCTCAGCAAAAAAAGAGGGTGCTGGAGCCAGTTGATGGCAGTGCTCCCCCCACCACCACCCCCCACATCCCCTCCCCGGCTTACGGTCACTGCCATGCACAATCTGGAAGTTTTTGACAGAGGCATGGGTGACCCGGCCATGGAAGTTGAGGACGTAGGACTGGGTCTCGTCATTCCACACCGGCGCCTTGTTGTGCAGCTCAATCACGTTGTCCATGTTTTTGTTCTGCCATCGCATCAGGAGGCCATCGTTATCCTGGGGAGGGCGAAAGCGGGGGAAGAACAGAGTTGAGGTGACCCCCCCCAAGCCCTGCCACCCCCCTGTGGTGTGCCCAGGGGGATGCTCTGTAGCTCTCCAGCTGGGAGATGGGATCCAGTGTGGAGAAAGAGATACAGACACTGCATCTCCCACCTCCCAGGGAGGTCCCTTGAATGTCAGGGACACCAGAAAGCTTTTCCATGCCCTGCAATGGGTAAAATCCAAGGTGAACCCCAGCAAATCCAGCCCCTAAGGAGTTTCTCCCAGTCTAGCCCTCAGACTTACATTTCGGGGCCGGATAGGCACCCTCTCATTGTCGGCATTCATCCCGGGGATGATGACTGTCATCTTCCGGGGACCTTTGAACCCTAAAACATTGGTCTCCTGCAAGAGAAACCCCATCCCTAAACCCAGTGACTGCCATAGGCTGCAGCCTCTTGCTGGTGGCTAAACGAGGACTCAGGGACGGATCCAGCCCATCCCGCATCTCTGCAACCCCCAGGGCAGAAGCCCAGTGAAGGGGTGCAGGTGGGGACCCCCTCACCACCTGTCTGAGGGTTCCAGGGGGGGCTCCCTGTGCTGCTTACGTAGACCACGGCTGAGAGCTCCTGCCGCACGTTCGACCAGTCGGCATTGGCCCTGTCGGGGTTCGCGCCATTGTCAAACACTGTGAACTTGGTTCCCATCAGGTTGGATCTGCAGCCAAGGACAGGAGGTGGCCGTGATTGATTGGTGCCACCAAGT